ATCACATTTTCTAAGTGACCATGTCAAGGCTAGAATTTATTTTTTTTAAAAAAATTTCCAAAATGCCCTTAAACCAGATTGTGAAGAAAAGTGTCAAAATAAATCCATAGAGTACTCATTTTGTAAAATATGACTCTAAGCTCAACAACGATCATGCACGCAAACATAATTAGCCTAAATACACGTGTCGCAATGGCCCATGGCTTCCTAGCATATCATATACAAAATACGACCTATCAACGCCAAAAATCTCATGAAATTCCATAAGCAACTATGAATTTAAATTAGCATACACATCAAATAAATGTCTTTGGCCCTTGGCCTCATTACATACACGTCCAATGAGTGACAAAAGGTACACTTAAGTGCACATTACATAACTTGAACAATAAATACATGTTTTGACATAATAAAACAAAATAAAGCATAATATGCTAACAAGTGCATATTAATAAAGCAAAAATGCTCCATGATAGTCAAGTACGCTTAGGGATGTTTTGCATCCCAAAACAACGTTTCTTTACCTGAAAAATAACTCAATAACTTTATGGTGAGTAAATAAGTTACTCATAGGGAATGAGCATGCATAGACCTAACTTTTTACAAAGTTATCATGAAACAATTCAAAAGGGTCATGCCACCTAACATCGATGTCAAAAGTGAAACTCAGGGAACATCCTAAGCTACCTTAAAACATTTCTAGCATAAACCATAATATTTATGCGAGTAAACAACATAGGAGCATATAGTGCAACGTAACGAGATATAGGAATCCAAAGTTATCACACTGTAACCTAGAATGCGATAACAACCGAAACGATTCATGCCACCTAGAATCTAAGTCAAAAGGCTTACATAAGATCATTCCTGAGTCATATCAACATGAAGCCACATGAATCACGATATCTATGAAATTGAACAAGGTTGGGATATTTCACACAACACGACAAGATTTAAATTTTTGAGAAATACTACTTGAAATTTAAAGAGTGAAATCAAGGATAAAGCATGATGTCTATGTAATTTAAAAAAGGTTGGATCATTCCATATAACATGAAAAAATTTTAATCTTCAAGAAATGCAACATTTGAAATTTAAAGAGTGAAATCAAAGCAAATCACAATATCTATGCAATTAGACAAGATTGAAATATTTTATATAACACGAAAAGTTTTAAATCTTTAAGGAATACAACGCTAGAAATTTAAAGAGTGAAATCCAAGATGAAGCATAAAGTCTATGCAATGAAACAAGGTTGGAATATTCCATATAACACGAAAATGTTTTAAATCTTCAAGGAATACAACACTTCAAATTTAAAGAGTGAAATCAAAGATGAAGCATAAAATCTATGCAATGAAACAAGGTTGGAATATTCCATATGACACGAAAATGTTTTAAATCTTCAAGGAATAACACTTGAAATTTAAAGAGTGAAATAAAACAATGTGGATACTCGGATATCGCTTGGATTAAAACCGTATTCTCGGGATTACTTTAGGACTACTAACCCATGGGTACCTTCCCCTAGTGCGCACTATAATGTAGGGAGCTCTCTATCTCCCGTACTAGAACCAAGTCCTAGCCATGTCAAGTCTTGATTGATATCGCCAAGTTTTCAAAATCAACAAGTTGTGCAAGTCAAGATAGTATAAAGATACAAGTAATACAATAAACCACATTCCATGCACAACCAAGATTTTGGAACACACAAGTCATGCCCTAAGTCTTCAACCATAATGGCATGTGAAACATCAAGAAATCATAGTATGCATCTACATAGATTACAAACTAGGATATATAACACATATAATCTATTGATGTAAATATACCACTAGTATAAGACACATGATTTAATTATTTGTCTAGCTATACATGAATAATTCTTACAATAATATATGTGAATGTCCATTTCATGGTGATTGCAAATATCACATCAATTTTACAAAGTGAGCAAGTTATAAACATGTGAAATTTAATTAACATAAAAATGATTAAATTACTAATTTTCAATAGTTGTCAAAAAATTCTCAAAATAATATATGTGAATGTCCATTCCATGGTGATTGCAAATATCACATCAATTTTATAAAGTGAGCAAGATATAAAAATGTAGAATTTAATTAACATAAAAATAATTAAATTACTAATTTTCAATAGTTGCCCAAAAATTCCCAAAATATTATATAGCAAGGGTTATACCAAGATTATCACATATTTCATGTCAAAAGTAAATGTGCAAGCTATAATATATTATTAATTTCTCAAATTAATAAATAAACATGCATATAACTTATACTTCACTACAAAAGTGATTAAGCTACTTAGATAATAGACATAGTACATCTTTTACCTTACTAGAGAAAAGTATCTCTAGAATCCAAGGCTAGCAAGCTCCAAATGATCTACCCTTCAATGATTATGTAGAGGAGGATGAGAGAAACAAAAAGTATTCCCAAGGGTAAGGCTAAATATAAGTGGAAGGACCTTAAAAATCAATGTCAAAGCATAGGTTTCTAAGGTCCTTTAATGGAGTCAAGAGAGGGTTTCAAAGAAAGGTAGGGAAGATGAAGGAAATAAAGTGTTCCTCCACTCACTATGTGGTCTTACACCAAAGTCAACACACACAATAATGATCAATTACATAAAAACCACCCTTTAATGTTTTAAATTTCAAAGTGACCCAAAAATATTTGCAAGTAGGTCCCTCCTCTAAATATCTTGCAAACTTAATTGCAAAATGGTCCGTAAGACAAAAATAATTACTTTAAGTAATTACACAAAAACCTCCCAAAAGAAATAAAAATTCAAAAGAAATGTGCATCCACATCCCTAAGGAAGAAGGTGCACTAATGACATGCATTTCCAAGAAAGTAAAAATACACATGTCAATGAAATCATGTATCATGAGTGCATGCAAAAGTGGAAGCAAAACCGAACACGAAAAGTGAGGTTACGCGAAAGAAAGCACTAACTGGAAAAGAAATAATTAAATAAAATCATAAAATAAAATAAGAAAACAAAGTGTGGAAAAATGTGAGGAGATGTCACGGCCCTCACGAAACAACACAAGACATCCACAAGGAAGAGCGTCGAGATCATTCCCGATCACTCAAAACGACACAAAGGGCTAAAACCCGAACTTCGCAAGAAAACTTTAACGGAAAAAAAAAGAAAAAAAAAATATTTTGAAAAAGTGGAGAAAAGGAAAGGAAGAAAAATGACTGGGTCATTATAACTACCACCATCACCACCTACTTGGAGATGATGGTATTGTTTGCATGCGCAATCAAATTGAATATAAAACAAACAAACAGTATGTTGGGACTAAAAGATCATGCACACAGATGATATATATATATATATATTCCTAAGTACATCTCCCTCCATACGATGAATCAAGAAAGAAAGACTCCATTCTCCAGTAGCAAAGGAAAAAAGGAGAAAAACAAGAAAGATCACAAAAAAACAATCAAACAATTGAACCAAGATCAGCAAGTCTAAACTCATAGATGAATTGACCTATTCAAATTAATGTAACACCTTGTGTTTATGTGCAAGAATTCACCTTATTCTATTTAAGAATTCCCTAACACCTTGTGGGGACAAGGATAATTCTCCAAAGTATTGAACACGGTACTTCAATGGTTGAAGATGATCGTCACACGCATTTAACTAAAGCAGCGGTGATTTGTCTACACCAGACTACCTTGACCTTAGACCTTTATTTTGTTTTTTAGCATTTAGTGTATTTTCTCATAGCTGACTAGCCTCAGTTGAAGTAAATTCTTGCAATTAGGAGTACTGGAACTTGGGTGGACCTTATAACCCAAGGAACCCAAGTCTCGCCTAAAATTTCTCAGAGCATTGGTAAGCTAGTAGAGATCCTGAGATTAGATGGGATTTGGGTAAAAATTCTACTAACCCAAATAACTCGAGTAATTTGAAAAAAAAAAAAAAAAAAAAAAAAAAAATGCCCCAGCACTCATATGATATTTTGATTTGGTCTATAACCATTTTGCTAGATATCATTCAAGCCAAAATGACAATTTAAAAACAAAGAAATAGTTTAAGAGAATAAAAAAATAAAAAAAAAATGCCCTATGACTATTGACACTTTGATTTGGTTGGAAAAAATGGGTATTAAAATGGTTTTATAAAGCTTTGTTGCCCTTTTTTTTTTATTTTTATTTTTTTTAAAGGATAACAAAACCTCCTCATCATAACTAATATGTCTCCCTGCAACCCCAAATCCCTCAATTTCTTTTCTTTTATCAGAACATGCAATTTTCCTGTGTTAGCTTTTCCTTTTCTTTTGTTTTTTTTTTTTTTTCAACCAAACTGGGCGTAAAGCCATGGTCATACCAGCCTCAATTATTGATCGGATTGGATTGTCGTCACTCCTCACTTGGACCCCACATGTGATTGTGACACTGCTTACATTTCAACATAGAGGTTACAAATTAAATAAAAAAGGTAAATGAAGAATATAGAAAAGTTTTTTTTAAAAAAAAAAAAAAAAATCTTCCCATTATAAACATGGGTGAACTGCATTAAATCTCTCTTTTTTATTTGTGTTTTGCACTAAATTCCTTATTTTATTAGGAGTATTGGAACTTGGGTGGACCTTATAACCCGAGGAACCCAAGTCTCGCCTAAAATTTCTCAGAGCATTGGTAAGGTAGTAGAGATCTTGAGATTAGATGGGATTTGGGTAAAAATTTTACTATCCCAAACAACTCTGAGTAATTTGAAATATATATATATACAGGGGCGGAGCTAGGATTCTAAAGTGGGGAGGGCTAAAGATAAAAAAAAAAATTCAAAATGAACACAATAATTCTTATGACAAATATATGTTATATATATTTAAAAAAAAAAAAAGAAAAAAAAAAAAAAAAAAACAATGATGTTCTCATATATTAAATCAAGTACATCATAGATGGATACAAAAACATAAATAGCATTCTCTTAAGTAACCTACTAAAGATGAATCTAAGTTATTGAAGATGAACCCTTCGATCTTTAAGAGAGTCAAATTCATTAACTACTGAATCTATATCAATATCTTCAGTAAGTTCTCTTTCAATGTTGAGAATCATGCAATCTGCAAGAAATTCATCGGCCATCTTGTTGTGAAGTTTAGTTTTGACACGCTTCATTACCGAAAAAGCTCGTTCTGTTGTTGCTGTAGAAACAGGAAGAGTCAATATGAGACGAATCAATCTATAAATTAGATAATAAGTTTATCTCTTTCTTGTTTCAGCTAGCATTTTGCATAAATCAGAAATGGTGGACAAATTCTGAAAACTTGGATGATGGAGTACATCAATCTTATAATGCTCCAACTGGCTTCTCAAAGCACGCATCTCATCTTGAAAATCCTTAGGATAAAATTTCCCTACAAGATCGTTAATATCATCAACTTTAAATGATTTATAAGCAACTTTAGGATCCAAAGCTATGCCAAGAATAAGGAGTTCCGCTGTACTTTCAGAGAATCTTTGATTTAACTTCATCAATTGAAAATCTATAGCAGCATTGAAAATATCAACTTGATAGTGATGATTAAATGTAATACTATCATTTTGTTGACAAGAGCGACCTGTACCCACCATATAAGAAGCACTCATATCAGGTACTACAATGTCAACTCTTTACAAAATGATTCCACATTTTGAAAGAAAGCATGCCACCCATTTTCTCTCAAATTTTGAAGGAGTGCATTCGTACTTGAAACAAGGTTCATAGCATTTACAATGTCTTGAGTTTTTCGTTGCAATGCTTGACAAAGTATATCAGTAATTCCCATCATCTCACGCAACAAATGCAAGATAAATACAAATTCAAATGATAGCATTGCAAGATAAACACCTTTTGCTTCCCCACGTATAGAATTAGTTGGTCCATTCTTTGAAATATTTTCAATAATTATACGAGATGGACCAAATAAGTCTATCAAGCTACTAATAGAACCAAAATGAGAACTCCATCGAGTGGCACCTGCTCGTTGCAAAGTCTTAATCTGATTAGCTCCTTTACCACTCTGAAGTTCACCAGTAGCTAACTTATTAGCGGATAAAATCACTTTACTTGATTATAACTCGCTATGACGCTTAGGAGAAGTACTGACAAGATTGACAATAGAATTCAACTTGGAAAAGAATAGCCATATATCTTACACATCTTTGGATGCAGCAACTAATGCTAGTTGTAGTTGGTGAGCACAACAATGTACATAATATGCATATGGACATTTTTTAAGAAACAATGCTTATAATCCATTCCATGCCCCACCCATATTGCTCGCTCCATCATACCCTTGGCCTCGCATGCTATCAACTTGGAGATCATAAAGAGCAAGAACATTTGATATTTCTTTTTTAAGAGTTAAGGCAGTGGTGTCTTTAACGCCTACAACTCCAAAAAATCGTTCTCTAAGCAAACCATTCTTATCAACAAATCTCAATACAAAGGCCATTTGCTCCGTATTAGACAAATCTTGTGCTTCATCAACCAAAATACAAAATTTTGCATCCCCAACTTCTTCACGAATCTTACGTTTCACCCTATTGCCAAGAATATATATGTAAAACCTCTTTTTGAACCATTGACGAGAGGTAATTTGCATTTTTTGGTGCATTCTCTAAGACAACTTCAGCAACTTTGTCATTTAACTTTGCTGAATGCTTTATGAATTTAATAAAGTTGTCACGATTCAAAGATTCAACGGATTCATCATGACCTCTAAATGCACATGTTTGGAATGCAAGCCACCGAACACTTTCAATTGTAGTCTTTAGGCGTAATCGATTCTTTTCTACCACATCTCTAGATAATACATTTAACACTCTGTCAATATGTTGTAAAGGATTCATTAAAGCATCTGAAGCTCTTACGGCACACAAGTGAAATGAATTAGGACCTCCCATATGTTGCAAAAGAGCACACCTAGATCCATCATTAACCCTTTTCCAACTATTAAACCCCTTGACAGTAAAAGCAAGACGAGATGGTGGATTAGTTTCAAAGAGAAAACATGGCAAACAATATACTTTATTTTTCTTAGGAGAATACTCAATCCAAGTGAATTTTTTATACCAACTACTTTGAAATCGACGAGATTGAGTTCTATCTTGAGTGGAAGGAAACACAGGGAGTTTTGGTTGATAAGGTTCCCTTAAGATATAATTTCGTCGAAGCTCATCACGTTCATTAACGGGGTGTTTCCATATTTGAAGACGCAAACCAGGATCTCGTATAAAAGACATATCATCAACCTCTGTTTGCTAAACTCTTGGAATTTTTTAAGGAGGCTCTTGTTGCTGCTCATTAGAGTTTGTAGTCTGAGGACGGGTACTCGTACTCGTAGAAGCTGTCCCAATTTCCGATTTATCTTCTTTCTGTTTATAAAAGGAAAACAAATTTTTCATCTTGAGGGTGGAAAATTCCTACTGTGTAGTGCTTCAACAAACAAAAATAAAGGGCACACCTAATGGCCTATCACCTATAGAGCTGGAGCAGGAAGAAGAAAAAAAAAAAAATTTATTGAGGTCTGTATATTGTCAAAGAAATGAAAAACTTTTATTGAAATTTATTTCAACTCACTCTAACTCACACACATACAAAACAAACAAATGTATGCAAATATATCATATTTTTATATTATTTTCTCATAATTTGTCTCTAATTCACATAAGTTCATAACTCACTGTTTTTTATTGTTAGGCTATGTTTCTGTTTAATACCACCATCAATAAACATTCACCTTATGAGTTATGGCTTTGTGATCTTCTATAATCATCTATGTGTTCGGGTGCACCAAATTGGGTTTTGAAATTGGAACATAAGATCATGCTAATTGCTACAGCTAATAGACACCTGGTTTGAAATTGGAACATAAGATTATGCTACAGCCAATAGACAAAGTAGATATGTGTTCGGGTGCACCAAACAGGGCTCATGTATAAACTAATAAAAGCCTAAGTTTCAATTCTCCCAAAAAAAAAAAAAAAAAAATCCCAAATTTAAAGTAACTGAAACAGTGAAACCCTAGATTGAAGTATGCAAATCTTTCTCTCTCTCTCTCTCTCTATATATATATATATATTAATATGTATCTATTTTTATATTTGAAAGATAGATTTAATATGCACAATTTGTCAATTTCATATACAAATTCATATATATATATATATATATATATATATATATATATATAAAATCTAAATTTGAGCACTTACAACTTACAAGATCATGGCCCATGTTTTCCATTCTAATCTGAGTCTTTAAGTAATCAAGTCTTCAATCTTCTGGTGACTTTGGTCCAATTCCGAAGCTCAAGTGGCTGGGTGATTCATGGGATTTAATCATTTAGTGTTTCAGTCTTCTGTATTCAAACCCTTGTGGCCTTGTATAGTTGTATGATTTGTATCAGTGAACTCATTCATGTAGCAGAAGTATGCGCTGAATACTTCAAGTCTTGAATAGTTAGGTCGATAAGGGCTAGTGCCTAGTGGGCTGGGCCATGGATTGGGAAAGTTGGGCTAATAGGTAATAGTACTAGTAAATTTTTTTTTTTTTTTTTGGACCTAGGCTGTAGCCCAGGTTAGCCCATAGGTGGCTCCACCCATGTATATATATATATATATATATAAACATGCCCCAGCAATCATGTGATATTTTAATTTGGTCTATAACCATTTTGCTAGATATCATTCAAGCCAAAATGACAATTTAAAAACAAAAAATAGTTTAAGAGAATTAAAAAAAAAAAAAAAAATGCCCTATGACTATTGACATTTTGATTTGGTTGGACCAAATGGGCATTTTGCTAGATATCATTCAAGCCAAAATGACAATTTAAAAACAAAGAAATAGTTTAAGAGAATTAAAAAAAAAAATAAAAAAAAAAATGCCCTATGACCATTGACATTTTGATTTGGTTGGACAAAATGGGTATTAAAATGGCAGTTCAAACCACCCCCACCCCCCTCTTAACTAATGTGTCTCCCTGCAACCCCAAATCCCTCCATTTCTTTTCTTTTCTTTTATCAGAACATGGAATTTTCCTGTGTTAGCTTTTCTTTTCTTTTTTCAACCAAACTGGGCGTAAAGTCATGGTCATAGCAGCCTCAATTATTGATCGGACTGGATTGTCGTCAATCCTCACTTGGACCACCCCCACCATATGTGATTGTGACACTGCTTACTTTTCAGCATAGAGGTTAGAAATTAAATAAGAAAGGAAAATGAAGAATATAGAAAAGATTTTTTTTCTAGAAAAAAAATCTTTGCATTATAAACAAAGGTGAACTGCATTAAATCTCCCTTCTTTTATTTGTGTTTTGCACTAAATCCCTAATTTTATTTTTTTGCCCAAAAAGCTTAGCTAAAAGGGACTTGTTTGGACATTAAGTTTTTTTCATATATTTTGGAGACAAAAATACCCTTGTATATACCCCACGTATATATCTACTTCATTGCCACTCCTAAACACATCTCCTCCATCAAGCAACATGTACTCTTCTCATTGTTCAGCTTCTTTTGTTTGCCCATATATATATATATATATATATATATATATATATATATATATATATATTATGTACAATTATAATATTATATATAATATATACCATTAAATATTATTTATACTATATTTGCATTTTCAATCAACCTTCAAACCTACATGAATATGAGTCTTTTTTTGAAATTTACCTACTATTTATTTATTTATTTATTTATTTTTGAGAATTATATTGTGTATTCATTTATTTAATTTTTATTAATTTTCATTTTATACAGATTTGTTAAATGGAGTCCTCTTCTACCAAAATGGGAATAATGCCTGAATGTTTTTTCCTTTTTTTTTTTTATTTTTTTTTTATCAAAATAATTTTTCTTATAAGATATTCTTATATTATAAGCTGCTAACTCACAAGTTATTCCTTTCATATGACTATTGTGGACTTGACAAGTATTGTGACATTATTCTGGAACTATTTAGCCTATGCTTTTATAGACTAAACTATTTTCTATTTAATAAAAGCTTGCATTCAACACCTTTTTTTAAAAAAAAAAAAGAAAAAAAGTCAAATAAACTGTTAAAATATTATGCAGAAAAACAATAATAAAAAAAATAAACTCACAGATGAATTGACCTATACAAATTAATGTAACACCTTGTGTTTATGTACAAGAATTCACCTTATTCTGTTTAAGAATTCCCTAACCCCCTAATAAATTAAAAAAAAATAAAAATAAATAAAGGATAATTCTCCAACGTATTGAACACGGTGCTTCAATGGTTGAAGTCTCGAAGATGACCGCCACACGCATGTAGTTAAAGCTGCGGTGATTTGTCTAAGCAAGACGACCTTGACCTTAGAATTTTATTTTTTTAAAACGTGACCTTGTCCCCACAAATATTATCAACGATCCTCTAATTTAAAACTTTCACCTGCCCAACAAAAACTTGGGAGAGAAAATCATTGAAAAATGTTTGTCGTCTTGTTTTTGTTGCTAATTTCATTTCTTGTTATCCGATTCTGCACTTCCAATATTGACACCATATTCTTGAACCAGTCCATCAGAGACAGTCATGTAGACAGATTAGTCTCTAGCGGAAAAAGCTTCCCGCCAGGGTTCTTCAGTCCCCGCAATTCCCACAAACGATACATCGGAATTTGGTACAATAAAATTTCAGAAAAAACTGTAGTTTGGGTTGCAAATAGAGACAATCCGATCAATGACACCTCTGGGATTCTCTCCATCGACAAAACAGGAAACCTCGTTATACACAATGGAAATGATAGCATCCCCTTCTGGTCCACAAATGTCTCCGTGGCAGCTCCGGCAAACCCTTGTTCAGCTCAACTGTTGGATTCAGGAAATTTGATTTTGCTTCACAAAAGTGTTGTTGCATGGCAAGGCTTTGATCACCCCACAGATTCTATGCTTCCTTTAATGAAAATTGGGGTAGACCGGAGGACCGGTCTGAACCGGTTCCTAACAGCTTGGAAGTCACCTGATGACCCGGGAGCCGGAGAGTATATGTTCAAAATGGACCTCAATGGGTCCCCACAATTGTTCTTGTCTAAGGGTTCGGTTCGATTATGGCGAAACGGACCGTGGAATGGGGTTAAGTGGAGTGGCATTCCACTGCAAACACCAAATTTGGTGTTCCGCACCACTTATGTTGATAATGATGATGAGGTTTTCATAATTGGTAGCAATGAATCGGTTCTATCGAGATTCGTCATGAATGAGTCTGGAACCGTTGAAGTACTTAATTGGCTCGAGGGAGACTGCAGATGGGTTGGGTATTGGTCAGCCCCTAAGGATCGGTGTGACCCTTTTGGTCCTTATGGTACGTGTGGTTTGTTCCGTAATTGTAACCCACCCAGTGATGGGAAGTTCGAATGTACGTGTCTACCAGGTTTCGAACCCAAGGTTGCAAGTGACTGGTCCTTGTGGGATGCGTCAGGTGGGTGCGTGAGGAAACGCGGGGGAGACACGTGTCAAAATGGAGAGGGTTTCATGCCGTTGACACATTCTAACATTCCTTATGCAACAATGACACGTGAATATAAGTTCAAGTTTGAAAGAGTGCGAGCAGGTGTGCTTGAA